GGTTAGCGCCCCTCACTCACAGTGGTAGTTGAGTTAACAATACACCCTTTATTGGCTCCTTCTCTTCCCTGTCTTATTTCTCCCATCTCCTTTGGCGTTTCCTAGAATCGCTTCCTAAATAAATCTCAGGGGCTGCTCCTGGGCAACCCACATAAAAACAGCTAGGATGTTTTCCCTGAAGCTCGCCCCACAATCTGGCTATTCTCTCCAGCCTTTGTCAGATCTCCCCACTTCCTCCTCTCTGGCTATCATTCAAACAGCAGGTGAAGACAACGTTCCCGGTGTCTGGTCCTCCAGGTGTGTTCCCGTGGGTCTCACACCTTATACCGAGAACCGCGGGTTCTTTCCACACCTAGACGAAATTCCTATGAGATCGACCTCTTTTTCCACCTGCTTAACCAGGTTCCCGGAGCTGTCACCGACCTGTTCAGACTTGTAGCCCAAGCAATACCAATCTAGACCATTTCGACCCCGGGGGGAAATGCTGCATGCTGAGTGGTCAGAGAGTTCTTTCAAAATCAGTAGAAATAATATTTAATTGTGTCCGACTGTGGGCAGTACATCTTCTCTTGGGGGAGATGGTCCGCAGTTCCCGTGGGAAGCACACTTGTTCTCTCCACAGACCACCTGCTCCAGAAGGACGCTCCGAGGATGGCCTCCTCTCGGCAGGAAGCCTCAGCCCACGAGAGGGTTTTGTTTCTGTTCTATACGAGGACCCTCGGCACTTGCCGTGCTGCTGCTCCTGCTCCACTCTCCTCCTCCACTGTCCGTTGGCTCCTGCCAGTTCACCTCGCAGCAACCCAGGAAGAGCCACAGTTGCCCTAAAATACCCTCTGGGGCACACAGCCCTCCAGCTCCAGTAGCTCCGGCCAGCCCTCGTATTTGTTTGTGTCTGGGTTGTTCTTCAAGTACTAGAGAGAGACAGGAGAGAGAAACGTGGACAATGGAGAAGGCTGTTTAGGACTCATACCTGCATTTGCATTGTGCTTTAAAAATCTAAACGCTTTCATTCACTTCATTCTCATCACTGCCCCATGAGGGGGGTGGTGTTGGATATTACTAGCCCATTTCACAGATGGGGAAACTGAGGCTCAGAGGGGGATGCAACTTGCCCAAAGTTTCAGGGATGGGATCAGAGCCTAGGGCCATTTCACAGATGGGGAAACTGAGGCTCAGAGGGGATGGGATTAGAGCCTAGGGCTGGGGGAAGGGGGTGGAGGGATGGGACAAACACCAAGCGTCAGGCGGGGTGGTGGTGGTGGGGGTTGGTGCTGGAGTGCTTTAGCCCCTCTCCCAAATTCTCTATCACCCCCTCTAGGACATTCCAAATAATGATAACAACAATAAAAAGAAGCATCCTAGCCCTAAGAAGTACATCCTATTATCCCATAATACAAATGGGGAAACTGAGGCACAGCGGGCCAAGGTAATTGCTTATGGACACCCTGTTGGTAATATGTAATAGGAATTAAAATTAATAATAAATATATGAAGAGAATAAAATCAGTTAAGATTACGTTTCAAGTGCTCAGGCTTAGTTCATGGAAGAAAAAATGTAAATGGCAAAATCTACCATTGGGATAATTGTGGCTAACCCTTAGGAAGAAAGAATAAATTCTAGATGTTGTTTCTCTGAAACCCAGATTGCCATGTTTGGGAACAAAAGACATGATGGTTTTAACTACAGCATGGTCTTTGATTCATTTTTGAGTGATAGGTCCCAGTCAGCTGATCATAAATTTCAGATAAAAGATGGTGCTGAATTTCCTCTACTTACATGGCTCCTCTGTGCTGTCTTGGCTCAGTTTTGATGGGTCTGGAAGCTGTGCTTTAAGGAACTCTTCCTAGAGAGTCCCGCCCTTCCCCCCTTCCCCCCAACCTCCACAGGGGCATCTGGAGACCCTGGCTCCTGCCTCCTGTGCTCTTTACCCAGAGGGCATAAAAGGGGAGCCCTCTCCTTTCCTTCTCTAGCACAAGCTACTTGAGACTATTCCTTATTTTTAAAAAGTAATTTCTCATCACCCAAATACGGTTTCTTGGAAACACATATGTACGAATTTGGCTCACATTTTCCAGACAAGGCAAAAACCCTTGCAGCCCCATCGTGGTCCCCTCCCTAGAGTTCAGCTCTCGGCCTCTTGACTCTACCCCTTCTCTGTCTCCGCAGCCCCCACCCCTCCAGGCTGCTGTGTCACCTCCACCCGGCCTCTGGCTGTTCCCCTTCCACAGTCCTCTCCACGCTCAGCCAGCGAGGCCTTTCTGAAAGTAACCAGGACAGGGGATCTCTGTGAGGCAGCAGACCTGGACGAGAAATCCATCTGCGTCACTGAGTAGCTCTGAGACCTGAGCGAGCTGGTTAAAAACCCTCCAAGGCTGAGAATCCTCCTCTGAGAGATGGGATGATGACTGTACCGACCTCACAGTGGGGGTTAATAAGACCCTACGGGGAACCTGCTCTGCTGCTCCTGTATAGAACAAGCTCTTGCTGAATGCTAGGCTTTCCTATTATCAGTCTGCTCTTGTCACTCTCCCTCCTAAGCTTCTCATAGCTCCTCATTGCCTTCAGAACAGAGTCCGTGCTCCTCATTGGTCCTATATGTCCAAACCATGGACCCGTGGCTCTCCAGGTCTTGAGTCTGGGCAGAGTGGAATGTTCTCACCACCATGCCAGGAAGGTCTGGCCAGTTCTCCCAGGTCTCAGGATTGCTCTGAGCTGGGGATGCACAGATAGGGACTGCTATCGACAGGGCGAGAAGGTGAAGCATTTCCCTGGGGGCCCCGACCCTCTGTCAACTCCCCCGTCTTCCTGGGAGCACCCCTCAAACTCCACCTCTGGGTGCCTCCCTGGCCCCCTCTGCTTGGGACACTCCATAGTGACTCTGGAGCCCCATATCGTGGACCCCTCCTGACTTTTTCAGCCTACTCAGGTGGGCTCTCCCGTGTCCCCTTCTTGGTGCAAGTTCACCTCCATAGTGAACTTAGAAGAGGCCTTGGTCTCCCCTGGTCCAAACCCTCCCCTTTACAGGAGGGGAGACTGAGGCCTGGGGGAAGGAGGGGCTTGGCTAAGGTGGCAGCTGCGACCAGAAGCCAGGCATCCTGCCCCCTGTCCTGGATTCCCCTCCTCACGCCTCGCAGGCTTCATCTCTACATTCATTTCTCTTTCTTCCATGCCTCGCTTTCCTTCCACCCGTCTTTTCTCCTTTTCTTTCTCCTTTGTTGGCGCTCATCTATGTATCTGTGCATTTATAAAATGGTCGAGGCTGCTTCCTGCTGGGGGATTAGCCAATCGGGCCACCCTGACCCCTGAGGTGGATGACGGCCAGGTGACCCTCCCCCGCTCATCTATGTATCTGTGCATTTATAAAATGGTCAAGGCTGCTTCCTGCTGGCCAATCGGGCCACCCTGACCCCTGAGGTGGATGATGGCCAGGTGACCCTCCCCGCACTGTCCTGTGTGTTCTTCCCAAGGCCCCTCCCCCGCTCCCCCACCCCCGTCCTTGTCCAACCATCCCTGGCCACTGTCCTCCCTTCACTGGGATGAGGAGGCCGCCAGGAACCCACCTGCTCAAAGGGGCTCTTATTCTTGATGTCTCTGGCCCCTAAGAAGACCCAGCTGTCCCGGAAACCCAGTTGATCTGCATAGGAGCTGCCCAAGTTGGAGAAGAGCTTCCTGATTTCGTCATTCATTCTGTAAAGGACCAGAAAGGACCATCAGGCAGCGCGATGGGAAAACGAGTTCCTCAAGCACTCGGCCCTCCCTCCGCCACGAGCAGGCCCCGCTGGAGAGTCGCCTCGAGAGGGACAGGGCGGAGGGGACAGGATTCTTCTCTGAAGGCCACCTGGAGGGAGCTGGAGGGGTGTTAGAACAGTTTTGCTTTCATTTACAAATGCAATATATGTTCATTTGGAAAATACGGAACATCAGAAAGTAACTAAAAATTACTTACCGTTTCAAACCCCAGACATAATCATTGTCAAATCTTAATATATTTCTGTCATGTCTTTTTTCCTCCGTGTACTGGGGAGTCATACTAACCCTTTTGTACCTTGCTTCCCGCCCCGCCACCCTCCATTGAATACTGAAGGATGAGCATTCTTCTATGTCCTTAAATATTTTCTACATCATCATTTTTGCTGAAGTAAGTACGTCCTCTTTTAGGTATATGTAAGGATGTGTCATCCATCACTGTCACTATATGTCATGATTTCTGTAGCTAGTCAGTTATATTGGACCGGGAGAGTGTGTCCAGTTTTTCGCTGTCGTAACTAACTAAGGCTGTGGTGATTCTCCCAGAACATCTCTTTGTGCACGTGGCTGGTTATTTCCTTAGGAGAAGTTGCCAGAAGATGGAGCCGGGAAGAGAGCGGGAAAGGGCACGCAGGGTTTGCGAGCGTTTGGTTTGCTTCTCCCTTTAACCTGGCAAGCGGAGGCTCCCACTTACTTGGTCCCTGGGTCATCGTAGGAGGCCACTAGCACCAGCTCATCCTCCAGAATTTCTTTAAGAAATTTCACCAGGGGCATAGCATCTGGGGGAAGAAGGAAAACAAGGTGCCGGTCATTCAGGGGAAAGACTGCTGGTCACTCTCATCCTCTCCTACTGCCCTAATGACCCAGGAGTGGCCCGGGCAGGCTGACATCTGAAGATCAGGGGCCAGAAGGAGGCGGCATCCTGGGGTGGAGCCCCCCTCACTGAGTGAGGGCATCTTCCTTTAGGTGGTCTGGGGCCAGTTCTGGAATTTGAAAGTTCCTCAGGCGATTCTGACGGATAGATAGCAGGGGTGACAATTACTGATCTGAGGGACACTGGGGCCTTTCGCCCAGGGGACAGAGCACAGTCATCTCTCAGGAGCTCTGGGCTCTTTGTACACACCCCGCAACCCCTTTCTATACTGGTTAAGAGCTCAGCCTGCCTGTACTGACTATATTTATCTTTTAATTAAAGTATAGTGAACATATAATATTAGTTTTACATGTACAACATAGTGATTGGACATTTATAAACCTTACGAAGTGATCACCACGATAAGTCTAGTAACCATCTGTCACCGTACAAAGTTATAGTATTATCTAGTGTTATCGACTATATTCCCTGTGCTGTGTACTACACCCCTGTGATTTATTTTATGACTGAAGTTCGTACCTCTTATTCTCCTCCACCTTCTTCACCCATCCTCCCACCCCCTTCCCTTCTGTCAGCCATCAGTTTGTTCTCCATGTCTGAGAGTCTGTTTCTGTTCTGTTTGTTTGTTTTTAGATTCCATACACAAGTAAAATCATATGGTATTTGTCTTTCTGTGTCTGACTTATTTCATTTAGCATAATACCCTGTAGGTACATCCATGTGGTCGCAAATGACAAGATTTCATTCTTTTTTTATGGCTGAATTTCATTCTTTTTTTATGGCTGAGTAATATTCTATCGTACTCATACATATCATATCTTATTTGTCCGCTCATCTAGTGACGAACACCTAGGTTGCTTCCGTATCTCGGTCACTGTAAATAATGCTGCAGTGAACATAGAAGGGTGCATCAGTCTTTTTGAATTAGTGTTTTGGATTTCTTCAGAGGGCACATCCACTGGGACGTAGGCAACTGGGGTCAACTGGGGTCAACTGGGTTCACCGAGAGAGAACTTTAGGCTCCTTCAACTCCCCAGCTCGCATCAAGGAGCAAGGCTCCATTTGTATCTTTCACACTTTCTAGCACTTGGCAATTGCGAAATCTCTGCATCTGACAGAGAGCAGGCCTAGGCACGGGCCTGGTGGGGGGCGGGCATCAGCTCCCTGCTCACTTCTAGAACACTGATTTGTTTCTGTTGTGCTTATATTTTTGATCAAAAAAGCAATAACGGCTTTCTACTTAGGGCAATGATATAAATTCTTTTTTAAAGATATATTTATTTACCTTAAAAAAGGGGGCTGATTTAAAGAACAATATTAAAAATGCAGATGGTTCTCTGGGTATGGTGTAACCTGTGTAAGGAGCTCTTGAGTGGTCAGCGTATGGGCAAGTCTGGCCTAGTGGGTGAAGCTGGGGCTACGTCTGCCAAACAAGGAGGAATAATAGACCCGCTCATGGCGTTTTCGTAAAGATCAAATGTGACGACGACGCGGGGCATTTAGTCAGTACATTACAACGGAATTACAATCATTAGTAGGATCAGCTGCGTAATTTTGGGGGTTCAGTGCAAAATAAGAATGTGGGGGCTTCTGTTAAAAAATTATTAAGAATTTCAAGACTGTGATGGCAGAACTTCCTGAGCGTCCTCTAGGTGTGAGGCCTGCGTGACTGCCTGGCCACAGACCACTCACCCACGAAGCCACCCGATTCTTAGTGTTCCGTGAGGGTGCCTCGGACCTAGGGGAGAAACCAAGCCCCCTCCACACAGGACAGAGAACAAATGGAGGCCTCTGGCCCTTGGCTCACGGCCCGGCCCCTCTCTTCTCGCACTGTCTCCAGCTTCACCCTGCACCGGAAGGGCCTTGCTCGCCTGCATGTGGACATCCCAGTCGGCCTGTGTAAACTCCATCCACGCCACACTCCCGCTCAGCAACAGCCACCCTATGTCCACCCCTCAGTCCTGGGGTGTGCCTGCAGCTTGGGGGCACACCTGAGGAGGCCTGTGTGGGCCCTGCGGCAGGCTCCAGGCAGCATATCTCCTGGCCTGCAGACCCCACCGGCAAGGTGGGAGGCGGCTGGAAGATGGCTGTCACAGGACCTTCTGAAGCCCCAGGCCCAGGCAGGGTCCCAGCTGCCCGTCTGACAGGGCGGTGCTGCAGATCTCCCCCAAACATGCTTCGGCTGTGACTCTTGGGCAGCAGGTTCCCATTCCCCACATTTCAGCCCCTCTGTTCACAAAGCCCAGAGGTCTCCTGCTCTCTGCTGCTTTCTCCCATCTTAGGGCCATGGGTTTAGGTGGGTGTAGTAGTCAGCTAGGTTTTCCCTGGAGGTGGAGGCAAAGATGGGGGATTCAAGAGAGAAGGAAGCCAGCTGATTGGCAGCAGCAAGGCCCCTTCCACTGTGCGAGGAGCTGGGGTGAGTAGGTCACATGCCCGGCAACCTGCGATGCCCGAGCCCGGAGCTGGCCCTGTGATTGCGGGGACCTGGGAGGGAAACTGAGTACAGCTGAGCTCTGAGAAGTGGGCTGAGTTCATCTGTCCCCATGGAAACCAGTCCTTGTAAGGCCCAGACCTCATCCTGGCTGCAAAGAGCCATCCTGCTGCTTTTCATTCCTTGCCGAGGCTCCTGTTCACTCCTTGCTGAGGCAGGGTTGCCAGCTGGGCAGCGGGTGGCATACTGGTCCCGGCACTAATTCCACACATTTCAGAAGATGTCAGGAGTGTCGGGTGAGAGTTGTGCCCCCACCCACAGCTTTGCCAAGTGACCTGGACCTATAGTCGGTATATCATAACGAGGAAGCTGCTGACAGGAACCTAGGTGTTCCGGCCTCCAATTCAGGTAGGTCAGTACTCTGTTGCTGGGCTTTGCTCAGGGCAAGGAGGACTGTGACTTTCTAAGAGGTGGCTCTGTGCACAGAGAAGTTCAGAATTCATGTCCGTGCAGAGAGGAGCAAAGACAGCGTCGGAAAACTGCAGAGAGCTTGGAGCCTCAGAGCTGTTCCTTCTGGGCCTTGGGAGGCCTTGTCCTGTCCTTGGGCCCACTTAAAGACCCTTGTAGCCTCAAAATAAAATACCCTCTACCTAGCAGAGTAAACAGGGCTGTACACCCTCCTTAGCACTTTGGCTGCACACACGCCTGGCCTCCGATTGCTTGCACCAGCGTTTCTTTGCCTGAAGGTCTCCTTTGGCCTCTAGATCCTCTCTTGTACCCTGGGGCAGGCCAGAGTGTGAGAAGCTCCAAGGAATCAGGGGCGGGACCCCCCTACCCCATCACCGCCCCAGTTCCCTTGCTCCTCTGGGATGTGTTTGAGGCTTGTGTTGATACTGGCTCCCAGGTCCCAATGGCCCAAAATGTTCTGTGGCTTGATAACACACTGTACTGGCTGCTTTCCTTTCTCTGTCTTAAATCCCCTCTGATGTTTCCTGAGAACACTTCCTCCCAGACGAAACATTGCACTTGAGTCCTTGTCTCTGGACCTGTGTCCAGGAGCCCAAGAAGACAGCAGAGAGGCATTTCGAAGGCGGCAGGACAATGCGAACTCCCACCATGTCTCTCTCTGGTTGTCTTCTGTGAAGTCGAGAGCCAAGAACCCTGGCACTCCGCTAGCTCTCCTGCCACAGGAAGGAGCTCAGCCCACCCACGACTTCAGTGCCAACAGAGGTGCCTACCTCCAGAATACATGTCGAAACACTCCTTTTTCAGCACCATTCCCGTGGATCCTGAGGGATGAGAGAGCAGAACTATTATTTTCCATAATGTGTCATTCTGCTTGTCATTTTGTGGAAAACTACTACTCTTTAGTCTAAGGTCTAAAGATCGAATAATAATGGAATAAAATCAGGTCTGATCAGAAAGCGTGCAGGACTGAGTAGGTGCCCAATAACTATTGGGCTGATCTGAGAGGTATAAGAACGTAATGGTGGAGGGTCTCTGGAATCGAATAGAATTCAACCAATCTGGTCTATGTTATGCCTTATCATTTCCTAACGCACGACTTAGCATTCTGACCTCAATTTTTACATCTGTACAATGGGCTGTGGGAACTAAATAAGATGTATTTAAAATAGTCAGCATACAAGATAAAATTTAGCTGCAAAACAGAAATGAAAATAACTACAATTGTCTTTATTATTCCTGCCTAAAAACGAAATCTGCAATTTGACTCCTCTGACTCTTGAAGGGGAAGCGATTTTCAGTGGGCTGAATCATACTCAGTGTCCTGAGTCCAGTAATCTCAATGGTGTTTGTGGCTTTTGCAGAGGGTCCAAGTCCTATAGAGAAGCAGATGTTCTGGAGGAAAATTGCAGTTCTCACCTTCTACCACTAGATGGGAGTGTTGCAGAGGGGATGGCGGCTCTGCATTTCACCACCAGTCCCTCCCTTCCGTTTCAGTTTGTGGATTCCTGAAGAGGATGGGGCCAGGGGCCAGGGTAGTGACAGCTCTCCCGCTGGGTGGGTGGGTAGGGGGAGCTCACATTACAGCCCCTCCCAGATTCTCAGAGCCACTGTTGCCAAGCCCTTGGGGCACTTCACCTGGAACCCTTGGAAAGGGGTCTATAAAGCTGAGAAACTGTTATCAGGTGCATTCGTGGATTTTTCTGGAATTAGGGGGAGGAGATGTAGTTTGAACAGTTTCTCAGAGTAATCTCTGCCCCTAAAAAGGTTAAGAACCACCCATCTTTAACAATCTTTTTGTTGTTCTGGCTCATTATGCCGATGAGGGCCTTGACCCTGAGAGTGATTCCTCGGGCTTCCCCACAGCTGGCGTGTAGTGTGTGCTGCACACATGCTTGGAGACACGTCTAGTGTAGGGAGGTAGTTCTGTTGAGTGATAGGACCTGGAGCCAGCCAGATTGGGTTAAAATCTAGATGATTCAATTGCTGTGTAACTTAGGGCAAGCTGCCTAACCTCTGAGCTCCTGTTGTCTATGTAGAACAAGGGCATACTGAGCATGGTGCCATTCTAGCATGATGAAATTAAATCAAATAGCTAGCACGTAGTAAATGCTCAATAAATGTTAGCTTTTAGTGTTATTAATGGTTGTTTTTATCTTTGAGCTTTGTGAGGGGTGGGGAAGGAGGCCTCCATCTGGGCTTATCTCATGAGAGACTATTCAAGAGGTCTTCTCTCGCAGTGGTCCACTTGGGGAGGAGAAAACCAGTAAATTTCAGCCACGTCAGTGCAGCCGGAGCTGTTTCCTGCATGCCTGAGGTGTGCTCTGAGACCAGTCTGAGAGCTGCCTGCATGCCTTCCCTACAGGAAGGAGCCACCATCAGAGTGAGTCAAGCCTTCCTCTCCTTAGAACTGTGGAAGAGGCCCACCCTGCTTGGCCTCCTTCCTCTCCCAGCCCTCACCCTTCCCAAGCTCCCAGGAAGTTGGCCAGGGCTGCCCTGTGATGCCCCCTCTGGACAAGGCTCCATCTTTGCTCCAGGCCTTGACATGTCTGTCCCCTGACCCTGCAAGGTTTCTTGACAGGAGAAAATAATTCCTCTAGGGGCAAAGGGTCAGGGTTCCCGTCCTACCCTGTGCCTTCCTAACTGCTGTTGTGTGGTCATATGGTCGTGCCACACGCAAGCTTCACCCTTTCCCTCCCGAGCATCCACCATGTCCTTTTCCCATCTGCCCTGACCTTTGTCTCAGGAAGTCTCTCTTAGATCCGGGGAAAGGGCGTTCACTCCCCATCTCTGAGCTGATGGCACAGAGACACGCCGTGGCTGGGGCCTGACCACCTGGTCTTTACTGATCCCTGTAAACTTGCTCCCTCCTGAAATGTGTCCCTGGTTCAGGCTTGGCTTGCAATTGGCCTCCCATTCATCGTCCACTGGAGATGCAGGGTTAGGGAGACTGTGGGCCTCCCCTTGGGTTTCCTCGTCTCCAGCTTCCCTACTCCAGGCCTGAAGGAAGTTTCTGTAATGCAGGGCGGGGCCTTTCTGAGGCTCCCTACTGCCCTCTGCTTCAAGCCAACACTTTGCAGCAGGACCTTCAGCCCCTCACCCTCTGGTCCTGCTGGCCTCCCCATGCCTCTCACCACTGCCTGCTTCCGTGTTGCAGCCAAAAGACCGTGTGGGCCTATGTTGGAGTCTCTCTTCTCCTTCCTCCCTTCCCCGTCCCCTGCACAGTGTTCCTCCTGCCTGGAAGGAGCCTCCCCCACTTTTCTCCTGGTCAATCTCTACTATCCTTCAGGCCTCAGTTGACCATCACCTCCCTCTAGAAGCCTCCCCTGACTACCCATGCCCCTAGCCTTGTGTCCCAGCTCCCAGAGCCGTGCCTCCTTCTCCTTCATATATGGTCACCACACTGTGATTGTTTGTGAACTTCATGGATACCCACAGGGGGTTGTGAAGCCAGGGCCTGCTCTTCTAGCTAACAGCAGAACCCCCAGTGCTCTATACAGGGCCTGGATCATAGTAGCTGTTGTTGAGATTGTTGAATGAATAAAGGTGTGCACTCAGCTTGTGATCTCACATTGTCGTTTGTTGTCCCGTATGGTTTCACGTGTGTTGGTTTAAGCCTCAGGGTGACATTGAAGATGGGGTCATGTTTCATAGAAAAAGCGTATCCCACTGGGACAGGCTCACATGGCAGGGGCCCGGCCAGGACTTCCGTAGGTCCGGGTCTTTCGGACCTTCTGTTCCCACCGGCCAGCCAGGCCTCCCCTCTTGACACCCCCGGGATCATGGTAGGAGCTGAGCCAATGTTGGTTGAATGAAGGTACAACTACCTTCTCCCCGCCCCTCCTCCCCAGTGCTAAGAGTGCGGTGGGGATGTCTGGGGGCGCGGATCAGCAACTCACCATTCACCAGGGCAATGTTCAGGCCTCTGCCCACATTGTTTTTCACAGGACTCATGATCCTGAAGAAGAAACGAGAAACAAAACAAAATACAACAGTTGGTCCCGAGTGTGGAACGAACACTATGCTGTTGCGACGCTGGAACTCTGAGGGGACCACGTGACGTGATGCGGAAGCATCGGGAAGCGCACAGAATAATTTGGACCATCTGTTTTCTCCTGCAAACGAGCGGTAGGCTAGATTCTCTGAGGAGTCTCTCATGATGTGTTTGGACCAAACAGTCTGCTCAGAGGAGAGGGAAGGGCCCTGCTTGGGACTCTGAGGTGTTGGAGGCAGGACCAGCCCACCTCATCATGCCACGAGGAAGGCAAAATCCAGAAGTTGCTGCTATCCTGTGGTGTCCAGGATCCCCACGTGGAGCCCAACTGTGTCCCTACCCGCCAGCATCCGCACTCCTGTCTCCTGGTGTTCCTTGGGGAATACTGTCCCTCTCCATCTCGGCTGGGTGGTTTTCAGGACTTCTCCCTCAGGTGTGGACAAGCAGAGCATCCTGTGCCTCTGGCCACAGTGATTGGGCCAGGCGTGGTCATGTGACCCGGGCCAGCCAATGAGATCCAGTCTCGGGATTTTCATAGGGATAATTCAGATGGGAAAGCTCTCCTCCCTGTGGGGTGCTAGGTTGGGCTAACGTGTCAACCCGGATGGAGGCCTCCCTCCTTTACCATACGACAAAGCCTATATTCAGTAGAGAAAACGAAATCTAATGACAGAGGAAAGCAGAGCTGAAGATGGTGAGAGAGGGAGCTTCGATGACATGGTTTGAACCCCTGGCTCCAGCTAGTCCCGAAGCCCACTGCCTCTGGCCATTTGGGTGCGTGAACCACTAAGTTCCCTGCTTTGCCTAAGCAAGTACATTCAGAGTGCTGAATAAAACACCTGTCTCTGGCTTCTTTTGTAGGATTAACTTGCTATCCTATCTGGGTCTTTCTCTTGCACCTGGGTGGAAGTCCTGGCACCTGCTGCATCCAGGCTTTGATGCCTGGATCTTGATCTTGAACTCTCCCCATAGGCGTCCCCTTTCATAGGAAGACCCGCATGTTGGCTGTCAGACAGACTTGAGTTCAAATCCTAGTTCTACCACCAGTTAGGTGGGCAACCCTGCCTGAGCCTCAATTTCCTCATCTTTGCAAAGGGGAAAATTATAGCCTAGGAGTGTTGGGGGATTGAATGAGATGATGTTTTAAGGACTTAGCAACATGCTGGCAGACACGGAACTGTTAGGATTATTGTTATTTGTGACTCACCCACCAAGAGCAAAAGGAAGCCTGTGGCAGGTGTGGGCTGGTCTCAGGGCCTGTGCCCCATGGCCTCTGAATTAGCTAATGAATGGATGAGGTAAGAGAAACAAAACACAGGAGTCCCTCTGGTACTTACATGTTGTCTTCAAAGCATATGGTGGGACCCACGACGTTGGCGGCCCCGCTGCAGATTTTAAACGCAAAGAAGTTGGCTGGGCAGGGCCTGCTGAGGTTACACTTAGTCTTCACGACCCCTGGGGAGGAAACAGGCCACCCTTGGCAGGGGCTGTGTGTCGGATCACCATCACTCCAGAACTCATTTCTGGGCTTCCTGTCACAGCCCCAGCGCAGTGCCTGACTTAAAACATAAGCCCCCTAGTATGTGCACATGCAGCAATGAGTGTTGGTTAAGAGGAGTGACTGTGATGAAGAGATTTGCTTGAGAACCTTTTTTCTGGGGCCACAGCAGCCTTTTGAGCTCCCAGATGCTCCTGTTGACAACCTCGTGGGGGGCCTTAGCATGGTAGGTAGGAGCATCTCTCACCCGCGGTTTCTCTCGGGTGAGTCTTCAACCTCCATGCACCTCAACTTCCTTATCTGTGAAATGGGAGCACTATGGCGCCTTCCCCACTAGGTTCTTGTGAGGAGTAAATGAGCTCAGGTTAATATTGACAATTCTTCTTATCCTCATTCAATCATCACTCTCTTACTGAGCACTTGCTATGGGCTGGAACTTGAGATACAACAGGGGACAGGTAGGCTGAGCAAGCCCTCCCATTCAGTACTTAGCACGGTCCTTGAAACCCACTGAGGACTCACTATGTGGCATCTCTGATTGTTGTGGCTGCTATTAAGACCTGTGTCCTCTCCACAAGGTCCTCACAGGGCAAACCCAGGAGGCCCGTGAAAGGCAGGACATGTTGATGGAAACTCCAAACACAGCCGCTGAGCTACTCAGCCCTCAGTGGACTATCCTCGAGCTGGGAGGTCAGCCATGCTCTCAGCCTGGCAGGTTCTAATTTATATTAATGCATGTTTTCAACACCACCTGACAGTTGGGAAGGTATGACTGGGCAGGACTGGTAAACACGGGATTAGAGAAAGTTCCCCTGCAAAGGGAAAGCAGTGGTTGGGCAGCCTCCCTCTCCTCCAGCCCCTGTGCCAGGCGTCTGGCTGAGCCGTGCCACTGCGTGCTTGGAGCATACCCACTGGCTTGGAGCCCCACCTCTGGCCACCTGCCCCAGGCACACCGTGTGCTAGACACTATGGCAAGCGTTTTATATTTATGATCTTGTTAAATCGTTTCAATAGCTCCTATGCCTGGCACAGAGTAGGTACTCAGTAAATATTCTCTGAATGACCACACAGAGTATTTGGGTGAGCTGAGCCTGAGGCTGGGAGGCTCGCTGTGGTCGGGATGATTACGTCTCCGGGGCTCTCGCCAGCCTATAGGGAGTTTCTATGTGAATCATGAAAAAGCACCGCCCGCGGGGGGTGGGTGAGGGGTGGAACACAACCCCCTGGTACAAGGCTTGGCAAGCTCGTGGCCCCAGGTGAAGGCGTCCCTTCGCACCTGGCTGGATTTTGGCACCTTGGCTGAGCGGGCAGCCCTGGTGGTGTGTGTGTGTGTGTGGGGGGGATGCCTGTCCTAGGCTCTCCTCCCCCTCCCCCTTGAGTTTCAGCACACCCAGAACTCAACCAGGATGTGCTCGCCAGCGGGTGAAATATAGGGGCAGAGACACCCCTGAGGGGTGCTCAGGAGAGAGTGGGCATCCAGGCGTGTGGCTCAGGAAAGAGGGAGCTGGAGAGGGGGACATGACTCCCCTTTCCCGTCCTCTGGACAGGATCTCCACAAAGGGTCCTTTGGCCACCTGCCTCCTCCTGGGGAGATCAGTCCCCTCTTGAGACCAGAGGTTCTCACCTATGCGGGAAAGGCTGTTCCAGGCCTTGGGGAACCGCTGTAGAGTTTGCCCAGAGCCTAATCAACTGCAGCTAAGTCTGATAAACCCCACGTCGATAGGCCGGATTAAGCAGGTTTTTCCCAGAATTGATTTTCTGCCCATTCAGTTTTCACGGTCAAGCTGAGGGATGAAGGGGATGATGCCCAGGAGTCTCAGCCCCTGGGAGGCAGGGGGTTTGCTCTCTGGGTTCTGGCTTGGGGGCCGCCTCCACCAGCTGCTCAACCCCTCTGGGAGCCCCTCGTGCTGTTGCTTAGGGTGTAAAATTGAGCACTGGAGGAGGGTGTAATCAGAAAGCTTGGGTTGCTGCTCTTTAGTAACCTGCTATGTCACTTGCCAAAAATCTCTCCCTTTACCTTTGCCAACTGTAAAATGAGGAAATTGGTTTAGATCAGGGCTGTCAAATAGGTGTCCTCTTAAATGTCAATGGATCTACTATTAGAGTCTTAACAATAAAGCTCTTGAGGCTGCCTGTGGGCTTGGAGGGAACGAGTGCCGGGATTGGTTGGTGAGGTCTACCGTGGGAGCAGCCGAGGTGGGAGGTGGCACGCGTGCTTGCGTTTGCCCTCCTTCCGGCTGATGAGTGTTCGTTCAGCACCAAGATGCTGTGACTCTGTGTCTACCTCATAATATAACTCAGGAGGCTTCAGGGAGATGGGGTCCAGGTGTGGGCTGAATTGCTGGTGTTGATTTTTACAGTCTTTGCTCTTTTTCGATAATCTCTCAGTACACTGGGCCTCCCATACCCCCTCGGTCAGGTAAAATCCCATTCCTGGAGCTGCATCCTCTTCAGTCGCTACCATCTGGGGTTGGAGGCAGTGACCTGGAGGTGTTGCCCCTTTTGCAAGGAGGTGTTGAGAGGGTGGACTGGACCAGATGGGGAGGTCAACTCCCACGCCACCACTCACAACTACACTGCGTTGGCCAAGAGGGTTCAGCTCTCTGAGCCTCAGTTTCCTCATCTATGAAATGCAGGTAGTTATAGCACCTACGCCAGGCTGCGGTGAGAATCGCATGAGGTGCCTGTAAAGTTCCAAATACCGTGTCTGGCACACAGTAGGCACTCGATCATTGTTCCCATTGTCCTCGTCATAACTCTCTCTCCCCTCTACCGTCACACCTGGGGAGCTGGGGTCCCTGTTGTTCAGACATCGGCAGCATCCAGCGTGAGAGGCTCACACCATTCCTGTTCTCCCAGTGCTCGCTCCCCTCTCTACACCTCACGTTCCTAACTCTGCAGCCAAGGTCCCCCCACTGGAGCCCCAGCATTCCTTCCCCTAGACCTTTGCATAGGCCCTTCCTGCCTCCTGAAGAGCTACCTCCTCCTTGGTGCCTTCTCTGACCCCGTCCCGTTGGAAGGGGGAGGGGACTTCCTGGAGCCCCGAACATTTTGTCCCCTGGCTCTTCTATCCCAATGGACAATCAGCACCCCCTTCCGCTAGCCTCTGGGGCCCCCCATAGTGCGTGACATGCTGCTAGTACTTCGGAGCAGGAGCCAGGAGTCAAGTTTGGGGTCACTGCTGTGGTGATAATAAGCACAGCCCCCAGCCTCAGGGATACCAATCAGATGGGCGTAGTCAGAGGTGGAGTGGGGGTGGGGCACAGTCCAGACTGCAGAGTAAGAGAATTGGGGGAGGGGGACGGTTGAGCTATTCCTATCAGTCTGAATGGCTGATACGGGGTCACCCCTGCCACAGGGCTTGGGGGCTTCAGAAGGCATCATTGGACCATGGGAGGAGAGAGCTGGACAGACTCTGGAATTGGAGATTTTTCTGAAACCTGCAGGGCAAGGAGGAGAGACCCTGGGTCATCGTGCCCCAAGGCAAAGGGGAGAGTGGGGAGGCACTCACGGGAGTCCTTGGAGACTGAACCTGTTGGAGAGAAGACAGAATCTGGTTAGAGAGAAAGTGCCTTCAGCCCTCCCCTGCTGAATGGATGTTGGGGGCTGGGGCCAGGGGAGTGGGAAGAGGGGAATTTAGAGTGGTGTTGGCCTGGCTAAGCAGAATCCACTTCCTGTGGCAGCTGCTGAAATGAACTTAAAGTCGCATCTCATCTGGGGATCCTCCCTCACTTGCCACTGCCACCCCTTCACACACACACACACACACACACACACACACACACACACACACGCACTCCTACACATATACATATGCACAGGTACACACGCATTCAAGTATGCACGCATAGAAGCATGCACACGTGTACACAGACATGCACAGAAATTTAGACACACACAGACACACATGAGCACACTCATGCATGCATGGACAAAAACGCACACACACACAATTCTCTCATGGTTACAAAGAAGCGGGGCTCAGTTGTGAGACCTACTAGAGCTTGAGCTCTGACTCCTGGCTGTGTGGCTGGGTGTGACTTCTCCTTGACTGCACAGCGGAGGCCATCACACCCACCACAGGCTGTGGAGAAGGTCCAGTGAGGTCAGGATGGAAAAGCCCAGCCCAGAGCCTGGCGCCCTGGCCTCAATGAAGGGAGGAATGTGCAGCTCTGGCTGTTCAGCCATTGGAGTGTCTTCTTCCTTGCTTCTCCCATCACTGACTGCACTGGGCCATAGGGCCCTTGTTCATTTCCTGACATCTTATTCACACTGTCTTCTGGTTGTTTCTGCAGTTCTACATCAGGTGTCCCACCATACTGGCAGTAAGTCCTAGCAGACAGGGCCCCCAGTGGCCACAGAAATTCTGGGGGAGGGAAGTCTCCTATTTGGGGAGATCCCCACCTGACACGCTTTTAATCTGGCCCTCAGGGAGCTGTTCTTCCTAGAGTGTCCCTACCCTCTGCCTCCAAGGCCCCAGGAGTAGGATGGGACCTACGCTGGGCCAGTCATACATAATATTACATTTCTCTGGAGACAGAGCTTTATGCTGGGTTGATATATGGCCCTGGGAAAGAGAGAAATGCCTCTTTCAGCTAAGCTGGAAGATGAGCATCTGGAGAGATGGTTGCCATACACCCACCTTAGAAAGCTGCCCATGGAATGAGGTTAAATAGCAACGGGACATAGAGACTCTGAGACTTTGTGGAGGCACCTAGATCCAGCCACACCTGAAGTCTGACATCCATGGACTTCCCAAATACATGACACAAGACATTCCATTTTGTTTAAACCGGTTGGAGTTGGGTTTGTCACTCCCACCTGAAAAAACCCTGCCTAATTTGCCAGGTAAATCAGGAGTTCTTAATCTGATTTCTGTGCTATGAACCCCTCTGGTGGTTTGGAAAAGCCTATGAACTCCCCTTAGAATAAATTTATTCTCACTTCTCTTGGTAGAGTTAGCACATCCTACTGTAACAGACTGCAACTTATGAAATCATAAAATAGATTGAATTAGAAAGAAAACCAGCTGTATACAACAAAAACATTAAAAAAATTTTGTGCTATAGCCGTATATATGCTTCTATATTAATGCATTAAATATAAGGTGGGGGTGTGTGAAACCGGGTTAGGAACCTCTGAAGTAAATGAATGTCACCTCATCCCGTGCCTGAACACTAATGGGTTTCGATGGTCAATTTTCCCACTGGGTACATTTCCTGCCACTGTACACATTTCTCGAGACTGAATCAAGTTAATTCACTCTTGTGTTTGTACGTTCTGTAATTAAGTCTGTTTGTTTTACCGACTCAGACTATGAGCTGGGGCTACATGTTCCTCATTTCGGGGTCCCTGGGACATAACATAGGTAGCCATTCAATGATCGTTGATTGGAGATAGTTGGGTTTTGAGACAAACAATTTCTAGGGTCTCCTTTTAAACGCTGTATCCTCTCTCACCTCAGTCTGGGGCTCTTTCCTCTAGAGGACACCCCTGAGCTCCACTCCTGCCCTGAGCCTCCTTCACTGACCTGGGCCCACCTTCTCCAAAACCATCAGCACAGCCAAATCAACCTCTAGCACATAAAAGCAATGCCCTGGGCCTGGAGACACGGCAGCCACCTCATATCTACATCTACAAGGGGGAATTGGGCATGTTTCTTAATCTCTCTGAGATTTTCTTTTCTCAGACCACACGTAAAGCCACACCATGGATCACCCCATGGGGCATTTGTGCAGATTAAATGAGACTATGCATGTAAAGCAGCTAGCCTCCATCACCCATCCATCACCCATTCATCATCCATCATCCACCCATCTATCCTTTCTCCATCCTCCATTTATCCATCTATCATCCATCCATCCATCCATCTTTATTTCATTTGTCAAATGTTTACTGAGCATCTGCTCTATACCAGAGAGAGAGATGGATGTATATAAATTAAATCTTTGCCTTCAGGAAGCTCACATTCCAGAGAGTGCAGATAGACCACAATGAAGAAAACGAATAAATAATGGACATAATCATGTATGAAGATGATACTTTGAAGGAAATCGGCTGACATGAGAGAGTCTAAAGTAGGAGGATGGGGGCATGGCTGTGGCAGGAGAAGTCAGGAAGGCCTCTCTGGGGAGGTAACATCTGAGCAGAGACCCGAAGCCTGAGAAGGAGCTGGCCACAAGGAAATCCGCACGAAGAGGGTTCCACGCAGAGGAAAAAGCAAGTATAGGTGGAAGCCACTCAATGCACAGACAGTTTTCTCCCTTCTTCCCTCCCTCCCTTTTCTTCCTTCCTCTGTTTTTCCTTTTTTCTTCCCTTCTTTCTTAGGTCACATTTCCAAAGTGGCCTTTGGTGCACAAGTTTTTGCTAGGACTTTGGAACACTTCTGTGTTCCCCACGGGCTCCAGGCTTTCAACAGACTGAGGGTGTACTTGCCTCCCCCCCTCACCCCCAATGACTAGGGTCCCAAAAGCAGGCCTATACCCTGCCATGTCTCCTGGGTCAACCAGGGATGGAGGGAGGAATAGGCCTGGTCCATAGGCCTTGTCTCCAGAAGTGAACTGCACTCACCCAGCCAGCGGGGCAGACGAATGTTTTTTATGCTGAAGCTGGTATAGCTGTGAATAAAGATCCACAAGGTGATCAGGAAAAAGGTGAAGGCCAGGAAGCGAAGCAGACCTGCAGAGCAAGGAGATGCTGCCATGAGACCGCGGCCTCAGACCACATCGCAAGGCCATGTAGCAAGACGATGTGCAAGTCCTTGCCAGATCCCCACCCCGAACCCATGTCATGCGACCCTACATTGTAGGTCCACACCACACCCACACTGGGGGCCAGTCCATGGCCCCCTGAGATGAGATCAGTGTGAATCTGTGTGACGGTCAAATGGTGAGACTGTGCTGCGAGGTTACCTGGTGGGACAGCTGGGAGAGAAAGTTAGAAATGTACCTTCCTGGAGCCCTCCAGAGGATCTTTAGGGGTGTGGTCTGGGAATCTGCACTATTATCCCACGCCCTGAGGTGGGGCCTGAGAGCTACAGCAGGAAAGCCGGTGGCAGGCTCTGCCATAGACAGCCCTGGGAGGCGAGGCCTGCCCCTAGGAGTCTGGAAGGCTGTGTGCAGTGCTCAGGGCAGCCACTCACTGCTGTGCTACCTTGGGCAGGAGACTGGCCTCTCTGAGTTGGAGTCCCTCAGTCACAGAGTAGACATGGTAACACCCTTACCACCGAGCCCGTGGTTTGTCGAGAGAAATGTTATAGTTGTCACCAGTAGGCAGCCTCCAAGGTGGCTTGGGGGGTTGGAGTTAGTCCCCCACACTTTCTATCAACTCCCTCTGAAAATCACCACAAGTAACCACACAGTGCTCTCTACAGGAACACACACTGGTCATGCTAAGGTGGCCGCCCCTGCCTCACACATGGATTGCTCTTTGACCTCCCACCCATCACTGGGAAGAACGCTACACCCAGGATAAACCGTCCAGAGCTCCCCGTTCCACTCCCTTTCCTCACTATTCCACGAGGGCGGGAAGCGGGCTCCAATACACTTTCCAGCTGCCTTCTGAATCAAATCCAACTGTCTGACCAAGTTCCCTTGTTTCTCACCTGACCTTCGTCTTGGTATCCCCTTCTCCTCAGCCCTGCATTCAGCTCTGTGACCTTGTGCTGGTCTCAAGCTACTTAGGGTAGGGGAGAAGGCCCCCTGAGTCATGAGCAGGGGGCTCAGGTCTGTGGGGTTTCTCATCTTTCAGGGCACAGTATGGCTGCAGGCACCCAGAATTCCTCTTGGGGATCAGCTCACATCATCCAGCACTCGTTTTGTGCCAGGCACTGTGTCAACAGCTTTACATACATTATCTCATTTCATCCTCAGAGTAACCCTCTGTGTTGGATACTACTGATTATCTCAATTTTATAGACGAGGAAACTGAGGCTCAGAGAGGTGGTCACTTGGCTAGTAAGTGGGACTTGAAACCAGGGCAGTCAGTTGACTCTAAAACTTGTGTTTTTAACTCCCTCACAGCTGTTTGGGAATATAAATGAATTGTATTCATTTCCTGTTTGGTGCCTCAGTTTCTCTCTGTGTAGACTAGAAGGCAAAGGCTTTTAGTGCCCAGCCCTGTGGTATGAGGATTCTAGAAGAGTCTTCCTCAAAGCAAATATTTTGTCCCTTATCAGGTGTTTCCAGACAAGGAATCCCCGTGATCTCAGCCAGGTGGGGTCACTGTGCCGAAGCTTCTCCAGCCCTTCATCCTAGAGACAGGAAGTCACCTCTTCCACTCTTCCAGGCTCGCCCTGGATTCATTTTTTTGGAATTCTGGCCTGACTACTTGCGAACAGATATAGCCAAATGACCTCCGAATCAAGGATGGGCAGACACTGCTGACGGAAAAGTGATTCCAAAACTAATTTTGGACCTCAACCTCGAGCCTTAGAATCCTCAGAGCCTGGCCCTACCTGATACTCTCATCTTGTCCAGGTGAGGGGTGGCTTGGGGACAGCGTTAGCCTGTGGAGAGAAGAAAATCAAATTGGAAACTGGAATCTGGGATCTGACAATGAGTAAGACTGAAAATTAGGCTCGGGTGCCTCTAACCGAGCAGATCCCTGTCCTTTCAGTTTGGTTCCTCTTCATCTTCCTCATGAAACAGGGCAGCCGTTTTCTTCCTCCTTTCTCTGCCTCCACTCTCCTCCATTTGCTCCCGAAATTTTATATTCAATATGTTTTTTTTCAAGGAAACAGAGGAAAGTGCAGTCTGCCAGCTACCGTCTCCTGGAGAATTGATTTATTCACTCATCCATCCATTCATCCATCCATCCATCCATCCATCCATCCATCCATCCATCCATCCATCCATTTGTTCGTCTGTCTGTTCGTCCATCCATCCATTTCTCCCTTCCTCCCTCCAGTGAGCCAGGAGACATTGAGTTAGCTAGCCACAGGGAAACCATCAGGGAGCAGAAGCTCAAGAGATCTTTGCTGATGTAGCAAAATGAAAAGTAATCGGGACCTGAATATTATAGGTGAGTTTTCACCAGGCACCATACATGCATTATCTCCTTTAATCCCCACAATCCCCGCTTTTAGGGATGACTAAACTGAGACATGGTTAAGCCCGGAGTTATTCAGCTTGCAAGGGTCAGAGTCAGAATTTGGATGCAGGCCTCAGGCTGCCCAGTACCCACAGGGTCCCTCTGCCAGTGCTTTTTGTCTCAGAGGAGAGTTAAAATTGGTTTCCTTCCTTTTTGAGTCCTGAGAAGGGGTAGGGTCATACCTGGATCCACCTCTCCCCTGTGCCATCCCCCAGGGCTGGGTAGTTACTAGTGATTTGGCAGCTTTGAAAACCCCCAGCAGGTCTCTAGAAATGCAGGGTTGCAGAGAGGGGCTGATGGAAACTATCTCAGGTCTCAGACTCCCACAACTAGCTGGCGGGTCTCTGATGGCAATGACTTACTCCCACCTCTTTTCCTGTCCCCTCACCACCTCGGAATATTCTTTTTCCTAAGAATCTATCTCAACAGACATGGTGTCCAAAGCCCAACTGCCAAAGATCCAGATATGAGATAGGAGACCTGGTGCTGAGATGGTCAGGCTGGGGCAGTCCTTGAGATTTAAACAGCAGCAGCAGCAGCAGCAAATGCAAACCAAAGTCTCCTCTTGAGAGTAATAAAAATCCTCCCACCCACTCTGGCCCTCCCCCTCTAGGGTCTTCCAGGTAAGGAAGCTGAGCTGTCACCTGGGCCCACCCACAGAGATTTTGTAGAACTTAACTTCTTGAAATTCAAACGACCAATTTTTTTTTTTTCAGACACAAAAATATATTGTGTTCTTCAATGTTTTCAAGATGTGAGGTTCTCGGATGTGGTCCCCCATTTGCAGAGGATCTAGGAGAGCTGGGGGCTGGACAGGATGGAAAGACAGGGACAGAGTCAGACAGAAGGGAATAGACAGACAAATGGACAGACGTGGATAGCCACAGAGCAAGCATGTACACTGACTAGAGAGACAAAGATAAAAGACAAGGGCGAGAGGGAGATGGCAGCGATCAGAGAACAAGACGGGGGTTGGGTGGGGAGAGAGAGACACAGACGAGAACAGAGATAAACTAAAAAATATGACCTGTGTACACCCAGATTTAGAGGTAGAGAGAGAGAGACTGGCATTTAGAGAGTGAGAAGAGATCAAAGGCAGAGAGAGCAGGTGAGGGCACATACCTGGGCAAGGGGCTAGCTTCTTGCTGTCATGCCCACCCAAGCGAGGAGTCTGGCTTCTGAGCGGGGGTGGGGAGGGACAGGTGGCGAGGGCTCTGCCAGCCTGGTGTCCCTCTTGGCTCACTCCCAAACCACCCACTCAGCACTTGTGAGGCTTTCTGCTCTCCTGAGTCCCCAGCCAGCTCACCTTGCCAGCCTGTGTGTGCTTTGGAGTTGGAGCCCAGGACTGACCTGTTGGGGGTGGGGAAGGAGGGAGAAAGTCACCAGGGACAGGTATGTGAGCAGGGTGGAGCAAGAATTTCCTTTACAACCTCCAAACCCTAAACAGTTTATTTCCTCCTTGTTCCTGATGAGACGCTTACAACCTGTTATTCAGGTTAGAAAGTTCTGGGGCAAGGACATGGGGAAGGATAGCCTACTGTCCTGCATGGTGGCTTGATGGGCCCAGGCACAGATATGGTGGCCCTAGGGTGGTGTGCGATCACAGATAGACGGGGTGGGAGGGTGGAGTGTGGAAAGTAGGGGGTGGAAACGGGGGTTGGAGAGGTGGGAGGGTACAAATTGCTGAGAACTGCCTCGCTTCCCTGACTGGAGAGCCCATTGTCCGCCCTCACTATCCTTGAGCCTCTCTCTTTGTCCTGCCCATCCCCCTGGACTCCTTCTGATTTCTGGGAGCAGGTCTGGCCAAGTGCATAAACCCCCCTTTTTTTCCCATGGCAGGCAGGGCTTGACTCCTGCAGGCCTAATACAAGTCACAAACTGAGGAAGTATTTGAGTATTTGGGGACTGAATGAATTAGATTCTTACATAGTCCTGGAAGGTTAGGATGATTAAACCACCAGCTAAAGAAGAAAGCTGAAGTTCAGAGAGGGCAAGTGACTTGTCTAAGGTTGCACAGCCAATTTTGGATTTTATTCCTGAAGCATTCGCTGAGCACTCATGGGAAGGCAGGCTGTGTACCAGGCATGAGGGATATGGCTGTGAGCGAGACACTGTCTGGAGCACCCTGGGTCTTTGCATTGCTAGTCCCTCTGTCTGAACACTGTCCGTTTCATCTGCTTCTTTGCCTGGAACACTCCTCCTCATCCTTCAGGTTTCAGTGTAGAGGTCACTTCCTCTGAGAAGCCGTCCCTGACCCTCTAAGTCAAGGTTAAACACTTACTTGTGGTCCTAGATTGGGAGACATCCATCAGGATACCCCATCCTGTCCAAAGGGGCTGCCATCCTGTCCAAAGGGGCTGCCAATTATCTGCTAAACTAGATAATCTGTGAGTCTGGGGCTGCCAGAGTCCCTTCCTCAGCCATTACAACACATCATCTCCTGTCGTAGACAAGTCCTACCAGAAGATGCAAATACAAGGGCTGAGCAGTGGGGGCAGTACATGTAGTTTTGGTCCTGAAAGAATCAGGCAGTAAAAAGCCTATGATGTTGGGAAAGAGGATGGATTTGGGAATTAGACAAACTTGGGTTTGCCACTTGCTAGTTGTGCGTTTTGGGGCATACCTCTCTGGCCCTTGGTTTCCTCTTTTGTAAAATGAGAGTGATCCTATTTACCTCTCTTGAAAGGGATGTTGGGCAGAGAGTTTACCTCTCTAGAAGCGATTCGCTGGCCTGATGGCATCTGTCCCAACTCTTCCCTGTTTGCAGGCCCCAGTCACCCTGTGGCTTCCTGTTAGTGCACCTCCACCACAGGATTCCTACACAGATGTTTGTTCTTTCTTCGGAAACAAAATGCCATCACAGTATCTCTCTGCCTGATAGTTTGTGACATTTCTTAATGGCCCTATGGGAGCTGGAACATCAGCTTCTTACTGTTTCCCAGAGCCCTCTGTACAAACAGGCCTTTAGGCTCAAACGTGACCTTTCCTAGAATCCAGATGGATGGAAGAAGACTTACTCTCTTTCCTGGATGGAAGGGTTGGAGAGAGCATCTTGAATGGAGAAAAACGTGGGTATTTCCCCAGCTTAAATCTGGCCCAATGGTCCCTATTGCTCTTAGGATAAAGGCCAAAGTATTTCATGTGGCTTATAAGACCTTTCAAGATTTGACCCTGACACGAGGGCGACCTTGCCAACATCAGTATGTGCTGCCCCTACTCACACTTGCTCTAGCCACCCATAGCTGCTCTGAGTGAGGCTCTCTCCTTCCCCAGCTTTGCACACGCTTTTCTCTCTACTTGGAGTGCCCTTTCTGGCTTCCTTCACTTGGGCAACTCTTCCTCGTCCTCAGGTCCTTACTCAAGCAGACCTTTGCTGTGGAAACAGAACTCAGAAGCGGTTTCCTAACTTATCACAGGGATCCAGCCAACAGTCCCTCCAGAATCAATCCTAATTCACAGGTAAAATGGAAACTGAGCTCTGTCAACATGCTCTGCTTCTTCCCTGATATGGGCACTGGTCACGGGTTTGACTTCGCTATCTGTTTACCAGGTCATTTCTAAAAGGCTGTGAACTTGAGGTCAGATATGGAGCTTGATGAAAGGGTTGCAATTAGCACCAGCTGTAGCTTTATGGCTACACTTTTATTAGATTTAGACTTTCTGTTTTTCCAGCACCTGCTGGCAATCAGATTTCCTCCTCTCTGACCAGAGCCACACCTCAAATTACTGGCCCAATGCCAGAACCCAGGACTCCACGAAGCAGGGAAAATACCATTTAGATACACCTGGGAGGAGAAATGGCAAACGCATGGCACGTGTGCTGCCTCTTGATCCGCCTGTGCCCATGGAAGACATCAACAACTGATCATGATCTTAACCCCAGAACCTTTTCAACATAGCACTTTAGGCAGAAGCAATCAAGTTCCCCTCCTATATTAGAGGTTTACTAAAGAAGGAAATAGGGGATACTCACCATTTTAGGACATACCCTTATTCTTCTATCACAAGAACACGTGACACTCACCCGAGGGCTTTCTCTTGGCCCATCTGGGGGCAGCTGGGAGAGCCAGGGAGTGCATGCCCCTGGGAACAGCCCTCAGCTGGTATGGTTAAGAGTTTGAGGATAATGCCCTAGCCTTCTCCTCCCTAGATGGGTGTTCCAAATTTTGTCCCTTCCCTCCTTCCACCAAAGTCACGCATTGAGGTCTTACACCTTGGTACCTCGGAATGTGACCTTATTTGGAAACGGGTTGCAGATACGATTAGCTAAGACAAGGTCTGTAGGGTAGGCTCCCAATCTAGCACGACTGGTGCCCTAACAAGGGGAAATTTGGACATAGACTCACATCCAGCACCATGGGAAGTCTGGAATCATGCCGCTGTGGAACTACCAGAGCCTGGGAGAGGGGCTCCTCT